AACCATCACAACTTGTAACATATAGAATTTCTTCTGGAGGAGCATAGTATGCTGCTTCGGACTACCCTGGGTGCTGATATTCAACAATGGGAAGCAGTTTGAAGATATTAATTTCCAAAACTGGTGTAGAGATGGGAATTCAACAAAACTTCACCTCGGTGGTACACCCTCAAGCAAACGGACAAGCAGAAGTAAACTAACAGGGCGATACTTCGCGGATTGAAAGCTCGCCTAGCTTGAGCAAAGGGATTGTGGGTGGATGAGCTGCCCAGTGTCGTTTGGGCCTACCGAACTACTATCAAGACTGCGACAGGTGAGACCCCCTTCAACCTCACTTATGGTACAGAGGCGGTGACCCCGGCAGAGATCGAGGTACCCACATTGCGACTTGAGGCCTATGATGAGGAAGCAAACGACAACGAGCTTCATACCAACCTGGACTTGGTAGAGGAGGTGCAAGACCTGGCCTACATTCGGACTGCGGCCTACCAACGGGGAGTAGCTTGGTACTATAATGCCCAGGTCAAGAAGCAACAGGTTCGTGTCGACGACCTGGTTCTCTGGAAAGTTATGGTACCTGAGCCCGACACAGGTAAGCTCAGACCGAACTGGGAAGGCTCGTACCGTGTAAGGCAGGTGTTCGGGGAAGGCACGTATGAGCTCAAGACTTTGGAAGGGAAGCAGATACCTCGAGCATGTAACATCGATAACCTAAGAAGGCACTACATATGAGTCCACGACTCCAAGGTAAAATTCCTCTAAGACCATGGGACCACTGAACTGATAAAAAAGACAACGAGTTGGAGAGAGGACTATGAGTCACTCCCATAAGTCTAAGGGCCACGGTGCCGAGCTGACAGAAGATCTTAGCATTATAGTAAGTCCTAGTCGCCTCTTCGGCATGGGCAGATAAGTCCTAATTGCCTCCTCGGCATAGGCGCGACAAGTCCCAATCGCCTCTTCGGCTTGGGCAAGTGAGTAGCTCGTGCATAGATAGGTCGGGTACATACCCTACAGTGTCCATCCACCTCGGCGTATAGCAATACTAGGTTATTCCTACTTGAAATTCAGCTCGTTAGCTTGGCACTTCGGGATAACCAACACTTAGAAAAAATTTTCTGTTCTTCCTACTTGGAGTCCAACTCGTTAGCTTGACACTTTGGGATAACCAACGCTTAGAAAAAATTTTGGTTATTCCTACTTGGAGTTCAGCTCGTTAGCTTGACACTTTGGGATAATCAACACTTAGAAAAAATTTTGGGATAACTAAGACTTAGAAAAATTTTTGTACACAAAAGGATCTTTAAATCACTATGCTTCATTAACAAAAAGTTCTGAGTACATGGCAAAAAAAAACAACTATAGCCGAGATCGGAGATCTGAGACATACACTATGTACGGGGGGTCCAAAAAAAGTGGCAAGAGGTTTTAATCAATTCGGGGCTCTTCGTCCCTAGTAGCAGCGTTGGTTGGCTGATCAATCTCCATGTGATCGGCGGCAGCATCACCTCCCTCATCCCCTTCCACAGTCTCCTCGCCAAGGAGGTCGTCGCTCTCCTCCTCTTTGGAGTCAGGGTCCTTAGCTGCCTCAAGGGCCATCTCCTCGGTGATCTTTGATGTTGTAATGGCGTTGAGGTCAAGGTGAGGAAACTCACGTCGGGTCAACCACCTGCTGAGCTTGAAGCCTTTGTGGTAGCCCGCCGTTCCGGTCTCGAAAAGCAGATTGGCGCAATCCAACGACTCTCGTGAAAACCGGCCGCACTCTCTCTGAGGAGAGGTTTCGGTTAAGCGCGATTTTTGGTGTCCGCGGAGTTTATAAACCGCGTCACGTCCGCGTGTCCCCAACATGCGACCTGGTTTTTCCATTGAGCCACATGGGTTACATCGGTCCGACCATAAAACCGAGAGGTGAGCCAAGAAGAAACCAGGCCAACCTGCTTGCGTTGACCGTAAACTCCCCGCACCAGGGTTGCAACCCCTAGCACGGGGAGTGGGGGGCAATTGATGAGGGGTAATTTGGCCCGACCTAGCGACCGAGGTACACATGGATGCAATCAGCCACTAGGGTGACAACTTAGCAAGGGAGCCTCGCCAGTAGCTCGGGAGCTTGGGGCCTTGAGCACCTCGCCATAAAGGCACCTCGACACCTAATTCAATTCGGGGCCAAAGAACCGAGGTTCCAGTTCGGAGCCAAAGAGCCGAGGTGCCAGTTCAGGACCAAAGATCTGAAGTGCCCCGTAATCGACTCCAGAAGCTTCACCAACGGACTCCGAATCTCCTAGGATAACAACGTCTAATAACAGGACTCATCCTCACCCCGCCCGAATCAGAGGAAAGTGATAAACCTTATCAACTGGTGCATTGCTCTCATTCAAAAACAGAATGGATCTTATCTATGCAGCCCGTGGATCGCGGAGCCTTTTCGTAAGGATCACGACTATTCAACTATATAAAGGCATCGATCCTCAAGGTGAAGGTATGCACGAATACTCACATTCAAGATCTCTAGCATTCATACTTAGCTTGCAAATACACAGTATTCTGACTTAAGCATCAGAGCGACCTCACCGGGTCTTCCACCCCGATCCCTCTGAGTATTATTTTGCAGATTAATCCAGCTCACCACACGAATACGTCCAAAGAATTCTCCAACTTAGAGCTTCCAAATCGCGCAATCATCAATTTCTATTCTACTAGTAAACTACAATGTCCTCCATATCTCTCCAAAATGCTTAGTGGGAATTATTAAACTAGTAAGCTACCAATCATGAGTTCTCTAAGGGCCACTTATTAACCATTCCATTAAAAAACACCAAGACATCTGATGCCCTAGTTAGTGACGAAATTGTATGTTACTTCTTTTGATATTGCCCTACATCCCTGTAAAGTGGGGAAGCATTAGCTTGAGGACCACGTCCATCTTTTCCCATCTCCTTGTCTCCGTCATGGCCTTCTAAGAGATGGGCCATCCAGAGAATAACTTAAAAGTGGTTAAGTACATACCAATTGGATGGCTAATAGTGGATGCCCCACTCTTGACTGTTTGTTCAAGCAGAGAAGCATCCACTTTTTTTTTCTATATATATGTTTTTAATTTTTTTTCTCTTTTATTTGGATGACTGCACGTGCTAGCACATTTAAAGGAATCAGAGTAGAATTAATTAATTGAGTTATGATTTTTTTAACCCATGATTTATATTTTTTTAATTAATTCCAAAGTTGTCTACTGATTTTCGCCAATCAAGATCACATCAATCAATGACAAAATACGTTTATTGTCTTAATATTGCTTAAGTAATTAATTAATTATACCAAATTAAATATCAAAATCACATCAATAATTGAAATCGTTGAAAAAGGAAAAGTTATTTTATTGCAGTCATGGATCATGTTGACATACATAGGACGGGACTTCTAGATGGATGTAGGCCCCGTTATCTGCATTTAAAATTAAAATTATTTTCAAATCTATATAAAGCCCACTGGGCCCCAATATCAAGCAGAATAGAGGCCTGGCCCAAATCCCAAGCCCATAGCCGAATCCATTGACATGGAGTGGAGAACTCCTACCTTCGTAGGTCGTACACATAATAAGATAAAGGTATTACCTGGAATTAATTAATACGTGTCCAGCTCAAGGCCCAGAAACATAGGAATTAGGAACAAAGACCCACCACCGACCAATGAGATTTCAACTACTCGAGGCAGTATCTCCGACGAGTGTGACTGCTGATGACTGGGACTTGTACGTGCAAGATACGCGGGGCCAATCCCCAAGGAACGAGCCAATCCGCATGTTACACGTGTCTTGTATACGGAAAGCTATAGATGCATGAACGATGAACCCCCCCCCCCCCCTGTGGTTCGCCACCTCGTTATACCTCGTCAAACTTGCCAACAAAGTGGAGTCCTTTAACCGACTGCATTTATGAACTTCACATTCATCTCTTTCCTTGATGATTCCATTTGCATGGATCAGGTTCGTTTAGCCCACGCCCACACCTCAGTCGTATGGGCTGTAAGTGGGCCGCCCAATTAATCCACTTTGATGGTTTCTCTATTTTCAAAGGATGAAGGAGACCCATTATGCCTGCAGTGTCCCATGACTCCTATCTGAGTAGCAAATGGAGAGAAATTCGGGGGTTCATGAATAAGGTCCATGAATCTGCCGTGGACAAATCACATCTTTTACCGAAATTAAGGCCCACTTGTACCTGGCCAAATGTCATCCAAAATTATTTTTTTGGTTTCAGCATAAAAGTACTTTCCAAGTGCTTATTATAAGAACTGAAATCCTTTGTTGCCTCCTCCCTAGTCCCTCCACCTTGAAATATATCTTTATGGATGATGGGATCCTATCCATCATGTGAAGCCAAACACCTTTCACGATTTGTCACATGGATCGGTGGGAAATTGAAGCCAACTTTGTAATACAAAAACCCTATAAATCCAACCCATCTGAGCTCCATACTCTGTTAGGGTTTGAGGGGGAGTGGAAATGAAGCCAATCTATGCTGGTGTTCATGCTTGTTGTTTGGCCTCAGAAATCCCTTTCTGGTAGGTATGACGGGATGGATACCATACCCATCTGGTGTTTGGTTCCATTTGTCTGCAAAAGCAATTTTAATAGTAGTTGGTCCCATTGGCCTGCAAAAGCAATTCTGATGGACCAAACACGCAAGAATTATATCAAGGGGGTGAAAAAATAGGTAGTGAATTTTTAGGATTGGTCTAAAATTCTCAGGAACTCGAAGGAGGCCCTGGAAGTTACGCCAACAGTGGGGGACGGAAGAGTAAATTTGTTATTCTACGTGTAATGTCTAATGTGCCTGGCTTGCTAGTTTCTAGATTGTGCATGGTCGGTAGTGCGCACACTAGTGCTTTCAACTTACGTGTACTGGTTTACTCGCTGAGGTGCTAACGTGTAGGTTTGCATTGCAAGGGTGCGCAAGTACGCGGAGGCGTTGGTTAGTATTTCGCGCGTATGTTTTGTTTTTTTTTTCAAGTTCCAACCGCTTTCGTCGTTCGCTTGAGACTAGAGCGAGCTTTAAAATCTCCGAAACAAGAAACTTGACCGCTCTGCGGGGAGTCGTCACTCGTCAGCTTATCACAGTTGATGGATTTGATAAACCGCTTTCCGAACTGGATTACTCCCTCCAAAACCGCTTCGATTTCTCCTGCGAAACCAATTTTCAAATCCCAACGACGAATTGTATCCTTTTTTTAATGATTTCAATTCAATCTCTGCAAAACCGCTTCGACCTTTTTCTTGCTGCCAATTAGCTTTCTGTTCTCACTGTTTGTATTGAAGCTGGTCAAGCTACTGACAGTTGATAAGACTCTGACATTCGATTATCCTTCTTTTCGTTATTTTTTTTTTCATTTTTGTTTTTGATCGGATTGGAGTGGATCGGAAGCAAAGTGGCGTTCCTGCTTTGTTGCTTCTCTTCCAAGGTCCGGGGGGACTTGCCGAGATTTGACGATAAGTTAGGCTTTGTAGTTAGGAGTGGAGAGGGAAGTGTTGGTGTTCATGGAGGATGTGAATAGATGAAAGATTGAAAGGAAGCGAAGCGTGTGTTGTTTGTTGTCTCGTGATACTCGTGAAGATGCCTCACCGAACTACCTACTTCTTTCCACGGCAATTTCCAATTCAAGGAAATGATCCATCGTTGAAGCTGTTGCTGCCGGATCACGAGAATAAGAATTCGGAGGGAACTGTTAATGCCGAAAGCGACCGGAAAGCGTCTGATATCGCCAAGGAGACTAAACTTGGTAAGAATCTAGTTGCGTCGGATCTTTTCACGGACGAAAAGCTTAAATTTGGGAAGCAATTTGCGGCTTTTGGAAGTTGGTTGGCTGATAGGAAGGTTGATCGTACCGTTCACGGAAACTCAAGGTCCTGCAATGAGGAAAGGCAGCTTTTACTTCTACCGGAACAACCACCGGAGGTGATCGTCAGCCGGGACTCGGTTCCTGGCCGGAAGGTGTCATTGCGGAGGCTTTCGAGTGAGAGTAGTTATTCTTGGAGCCTTTTCTCCGCGACGACGGTTGACGACAATGTCTCAACCGATGCTAAGGATTCGCAGCTGTCGAGCAGACATGAGAACGACGACGAAAACAGGGAAACTTTGGCGCAAAAGTCACGGGAGAGCTACTATCTGCAGCTTATGCTCGCGGTTCGGCTCACGTCTCAAGCATCTCTCGCTGATGAACCTGTTTTTACTCAAGAGAGTTTATCAGAGGCCCTTGGTGTTTCTTCTGATATAGAAGCTGTTTCTTATCGTCTCTGGGTACGCAAAGCCTTATTCATTTTCTCTACCTTTCTCACATACGGAAAGAAGTTTTGTTAAAACTGTTCACAGGTTTGGGTCATTTTTCTGGTGCATCTACTTTCGACCTCTTAATTCTCAGAACAGAAGCATTTCTGTTTTTTGGTCGTACATTTCAGCTTGGGGTGTCGGAAATGAAGAAAAAAAAAGATGGATTTTTTGGTTGGCTTCAATAGTTTAAGTGTTCTTGATGGTGGGTTGGGAGAATCTTTTATAGGATTTAGTGGAGATAGAGTGGAACTAGTTGAAGACATAGTGTAAGCTTCAAGTAAAGATCGGACCGATGTTCATAATCTCATTGCCTTTAAGTCTTGTCCTATTTGTACTTAAGGTGCCTAAGCTCTTCATTATTCTTGCATTTTGCAGGTAAGCGGATGCTTATCATATTCCGATAAGATATCAGATGGATTTTATAACATCCTGGGGATGAATCCGTATTTGTGGGTGATGTGCAATGAGTTGGAGGAAGGTAAACGGATACCGCCATTGATTTCACTTAAAGCCATTGATCCTTGTGATTCATCGATGGAGGTTGTTCTTGTTGACACACGTGAGGATTCACGTCTAAAGGAACTTGAAGACAAAGCGCAAGAACTTTATCATGCTTCAGGGAAAACTTTACTCTTGGCAAACAAGCTTGGGAAACTTGTTTCTTTCCATATGGGGTAGTTTTTAATTTTGTCTTCAGTGCATTATTAGATCCTAACTTGCTTGCTTCGTTGATCTAATCTTGTTTTGTTTGAATTTGAAGGGGTGCTTTTCCAATGGAGCATGGTGACCTTCATATGCATTGGAAATTGGTTAGCAAGAGATTGAAGGATTATCGACGGTGTATTGTAGTTCCCATTGGCAGCCTATCTATGGGACTTTGTAGACATCGAGCCATTCTTTTCAAGGTGGCTTACCATTTGTTTAAATGCATTAATCACCTTTTATCTCTTTCAGATTTAAGCCTTTATTTTCATCCATTGTTTAGATTACAAGTACCTAACTGACATTTAATTCTTTTGATATATAGTTTTGGCAGTATAATAATTGTTAGTATTAGTTCTTTTGTATGTCTGAAATGGTTCTTCTGGTACATGGAAGTTCAAGATGTTAGGTCATACTGTCTAATTAGGCACCTTTGATTGTTTCTGACCCAAAAATCCTAATATGAAGGCTAAACAAGATATCTATTGGAGCCCCCGTAGTGATAATATGGGATTGGGGATGATGGTATAGAATGTACACAAATTGCTTATGCACTAAACTCCAATTATATTGCTGAGGTACAAGAGCGAATATCGCAATTGTATACATCAACTAGTTAATCAAAACATTTATTTGATGGAAATAGCACCCCAAGTGCCTTATTGACTGTCCTGTTGACACCAAATTTTAGAAATTTGATCTGATTTAATTAATTTTATTTTCTGCCATTTGATAAGGGCTAAAATTCAGGTTGTCCAATTTGAACTTGAAGAGTTTCAACTACGTCGGTTCGGTTAGGGTTTGGGTCCATTAAACATTTAACAATTTCCCAACCCAACACAACCCAAGTTGCAACATTGGGTGCCAACAGCTTTCTCATTCTGTTCTGGAGAAAATTCTTACCCTTGAATGAAGAACTAATAATGGCATTTAACTATGCTGACATTAACAAGTCATTGCTGCAAAATTATTGACTGTGTATTCTCCATTTCTATAAATTTATTCATGAATAACTTGAAAAGGTGATGAATAGGTTAACAACTAGTTTTGGCTTCCATATGCATGTCTGTTACTCAAGGGCCTCAAGGATACAAAGTTCATGTTTTAGTTTCTTTTAAAGCCAAATATAAACCTCGCCTGCAGTTTATTATGGAAGACAACATAATGAAGTGTCTGGCTGCTTACATGAAAGGCTGAGTTTGTTTCTTTTGTGGTTGATGAAGTTAATTTCCAAAAGAAATGTATATTTCTGTTCCTAAGTTCTTGTCAGAAGTTGAATATAAAGTTCTAGTTGGCCCTTTGTTAAATTGGATAATAATATCAGATAAGATTTTGTACTATTTTAACTTTCAAGGATCGAAAATTATGGTAAAAGTTACTTATTTAGATATTTGGTTTTCTACCCCCCACCCACCCAAAAAAAGATATTTGGCAAGTCATGGTGCATAAATATACGAATGAATCCACCAAATCATGATTAAAAACATGATATTTCATTGAAGTTCCTTTAATAAATCTTTGGAGAAGAAGCTTCTATAGGTTTAGCTGAATTTCTCTTAAACATTCCAACTCTGATTGTGATAAAAAATTTGCACATTCTTTCACTGTCTCTAATATTGTACTACTGTTTTCAATTCACAGAGACAGATAACTTATGCTCTTTTTAAACTCCAATTACTACACTAGTTCTGTGTAGGCTTGTGATTTTTTTCATCTTTCATGATGATTAGATTGCTTTTTGTTATCTAATAAGTCACTCTTCTATCATTTCTAAAGCAACCCTATAGGAGAACTGCACAATTCTATCCTCTCAGAACTCAAAGGAGGTAATTTTAGACTGTGTGATGAACCAAAAGAATTCTTGTCAAAATAATGAGGTTGTTGTTGGATGCTTGTTTAACTAAATAGACTATCTTTCACTTTTTGTTCGAACAATATTATTGCTTAATTGATTTTGTTCTGTTTATAGTTTTACAGATTGACCCTTCCATTCTATGAATAATGTTTTTGTTTTCTATTCATTGGAAAGTTTTCTCCTTGATTCCATTTTTGATTGTCTAAACATAAGGCAGTTAATTTAGTAGTCTGGCAAAGGGAAGCTGTGTTTGCTATGTGTTCAGTTTTATAAATCTGACTTTTAAATTTAATACTGGTCTGAGGTTCTTTTTCCTCTTAAATCCATTTTCCCTTCTAAAGTTTATTTTGGTGAAGACATAAAGAGAAGTTTTTTACATTCTCTGCAGGGCATATATATTCACATTGATTGAGTTGTCATGCATTTATTATACTTGACAAGTCTGGATTTGCCTTTTTATTTATTTATTTTTCTTTCTTGTCATAAGTAATTACATGTCACATATCCAACAATAATTGGAGGGGGGCAGTATTGACTGTTGAGGGGATAGAGAATCCTAACTGTTGAAGAATGCAGTATACTACTATATTTGGTATGCTTGGTTGTTAATAGACAACCGGCAACATAATGATATTGTACATTCATCAGGTCCATATCTTGCAGTTATCCTCAAAATTACGGTTATCCCTCTTGTTTCATCAGAAAAACATACAAGTAGAATAATCCTCCCTAGGGTTCCTTCCCTCAATTCAAAAGCTTTGATTGAACAATCTAGAACATAGTCCACCATCCACATGACTTCTAACCCCACTGTGGTCAGCTGTGACAAGCAGCATGTCCTAATGAGGTTTACTATTACACGTTCAATGCAGGTCACTCTTCATGCCACAAGTTGAAATCATTGAACTGAAAAACAAACCATCTACTCACTCTCCTCCCATGGATGTACACTATCAAGATGAACCATCTAAAATCTCATTTGTTTTTTCATGCTTCTTTGTTATCTCCATTTCAGAGCTCATCTTCTACTAGCAATCTGATTGTCAAGGGGCATTTCAGGACCAAACAATAGTCACATGCATGAAATGATAATAATAATAAAATAAAGTAGTCCCAGTTGACATGTTTATGTAAAACACTAATGTTAATAAACAAAAAGTAGTTCTATTTAACATATCTTTTTTTGTGAAACATAGAAAAATTATACTAATTCAATAAGTTACATTTTCATGCACATATTGAAAGCAATCATTTTATTTTGTCAAATCATGATGCTCCAAGCATCGTTTTGATGCAGGGGATGTTAATTTGAGCACGGTTATCCTCTGTATGCAGCTATATTGTATATTACTAATGTAATTAGTATGTGATCCTGATGGGTTATTGATGTGCAGAAATTGGCTGATCATGTAGGCCTTCCTTGTCGGATAGCCAGCGGGTGCAAATATTGTGCAGCAGACCATCAGTCCTGTTGTCTTGTAAAAATTGGAGATGGTATGCAGTTGTCAAGGTAAGGAAATAGTTTGCTTATTAGACCTTTTTGCTTTGACCTCGGCTCCTTATCTTTGTGGACGTCCATGTAAACTGAGCAACTGATACTATTTCAATAACTTCCTGTAATCTTATGAACTTTGAGAGTTTCTTTTCCTCTTGTGGCTTCACATTTTCTGTTCAAACCCATATTGTCCAATTTGCTTGAATTTTCTCAAATGTGCTAATCTGTGTCTTTTTTCCATTTGTCATCAGTTTTAGTATACTAGACAATTCTAGAACATGGTCAAATTGTGTGATGCTTTCTGCATTTCTTTTTAGTCTTTTTCTGTTTCTTTTATTTTTTTGTCCCAATGAAAGGGCCATTGCTTGATACAATGGTAAAGTCTTGGACCAACAAGTGTGAGAAAGTAGTTAATACTGAGAGTTGCACTGTGTGCAAAAAATGCCTAAGATATATTCCATGCCTAGGCCACTCCTCCCAAGACCTGGGTATATGGGACCAATATTGGGAAACGATCCTTCTGGCCCTTCTTTTTTCAGTACTTGTTAGCAGAAGATATATCGGATCTTTTGGCTATGTAACATAATCCTTGTTTCTGCTTTCTTTCTTCATTGCATGCTTCTACCTTGTAGTAGTCATTATACTCTTTAGCTTGTTTTTTTTGGAGGACGTTAAACAACTTAGATAATGATTCATCAAAAAAAAAAAACAACTTAGATAATGGAATAGTGGAGGACTAATTACCACTATATCTCTTGTAAAACTTTTATTAATTCCAAATTCTTAACATGTTCTTGAGATATTTCATACGTTTTTCTGCTTGCTTGGAGAAGATAATCCCTTCTAATCCTCTACTATTCTCTTGTATATGTATATGCATACCTTTTAGCAGGGAATATGTAGTTGATCTAATTGGAGAACCAGGAAATGTTCATGGTCCAGATTCTTCAATCAATGGAACTTTACTTTCATCAATGCCTTCACCATTCCAAATTTCTCCTCCAAAGCATTTCCATCAACCTCTCATGGGTAATGCTTCCCTTAGTCAAATGCTGTACCAGGAACACTTCTGTGCTCTTCCTGAAATTCCTCAAAGTTCAGGTATGATCCTGTTAGCTTGAAAATGTGTTTTCTAGAGTTATTTATATGTAAGATTTTGTAGCATGTATGACATAAATGTAGTTAATATTTCTTCTATTACATGAGGATCTTTAGACATTTCAGGCCTGGATACATTATTATGGTATGGGAACTCATATGGGGAGATAAACTCTAACAATTCTTGTGTCTATGATAGACATAATTATAGTGGTAGTTAAGTATCTATCTCCACAGTCCAAACTTTGCATTTAGAATTTGGGATTGTGGCTTGGAGTGTCTTTATGCCCTGTGTGAATAATTAGGTTTGAATGACCTGTTTTTTCTATTCCAGCAGAACATGTTTTTATATGCAATTGGAGTCCTAAACGTTAGGACTTGTTTCCTATTTTAAAAGAGAAAATCTTGCCTAATCTTTTCTAAATAAGGAAACAATTATATAGCTAATTACACTTGATTTGTAGCCTAATTTACAGCAAAGAATCCCAACACTCCCCCTCAAGCTGGGTTGTAAATATTTATCATACCCAGCTTGCAACTAAGATCTTCAAAATGCGCCCTTGGAAGTGCTTTAGTTAGGATATCGGCAGTCTGAAA